TTTTCCCTTTTTTCATTCCCCCCCTTTTTTTTTTTTTTTTTTAACAAAAGCAATTACAGAGAAGTGCAAATCTAGCGCGTGACATTTAACACGGCCCTGTGGCAGGCGGGCCGCGCTTAAACGGCAGCCTTTCCGCAGAACGAGGGGAGCACAAAGGGCCCCGTGTCGCCGCCTTATGTAAGACACAATCTCGCCTGGAAGCGCACAATGAGTCGGGAAGGATTTGTGTAATTAATTGACCAGTCTTAACCTGTTATCGTGATGTAAGGAGTTTGGAACTCATTAATTTGGGCCCTGACAGATTTCATATTAGAGCTGGCAAATATGGATTGAGCCTCTTATTCTTGTAGCAGCTGGAATTTCCGTGACAGTGAGGATTAGTGAGGAAGACCTATTGCTGGAGTCAAACTGCCTTCTTTGTAATCAGCTGCCCTGCTCCGCCTCGAAGGCGTAAAGGGAAAGGGAATAAAAATAAATACAAACCAGGAAAACAAACCAGGAAAAATGTCTTCATGCATGGAGCAGAGCAGGGGACAAAAACAACGCGGGCAGCAGGGTGCTGCGGTGCAAGAGGGGCCTCCCCATGGCCACAAACAACGAAGGAGGATCACGCACCTTGCCCGTACTGTCCATCACGTTTTTTCCTGGAGACCTCTCCTTGCCAAAAGACAGCCTCCTTGGAAAAGGACTGCCCCTTCTTCCTTGGCTGCGCAGAGCTGAGCTCCGTGGTGCCCTTCCGCTGCTCCTGTGATTGATTGTCAGCCAATAATCCTGATCACAGTGTTAACGTCCATGATCATTAAAACAAAAAGAAACCCCAGGCCAGCAGAGTGCAATCTGATTGCGCTCCTTCAAAGAACATCCTTTGCCTCCTGGTAAAATAAAAAATCTTCATGTATATCAAGGACATCATATTTCCCTAAAGATAGGGAATAATTGGTGATTTCCACTTGTGCACAGGCCTGACTCAACCTCCCCAGTTCTGTCTTTGCTTTTCTTGGTGCAGGTTCTACTGGCAACTGTACGTTTTGCTCAAATGTGCCCCGTGTTAAAATGTAGATCAAGCATAACTAATTTTCATGTTAAATTCAATATGCCAGCATATGCTCAGGCTTAGCGTTGTTTGAAGCAGCAAAACAAAGCTTTTTAAGGTTGTGCCTTCTAAAACATCTTTTATTTCTTGCATGCTTTGCCAGGAACACTTTTCAGTGTTGCCCATGGTTTGCAAAATTAAAGTGTTTTTTTTTTTTTTAATGGTCGCTCCCCTTCCCTATTTTTTACTTATAGGTAA